AAAATGCTGGTAGCCATCAACTGAACTATACAGAGTCACATCCCAGAAGACCATAATATTAATATTGACTAATCACTTCATTTCTGTTTACCTGTTGGATTTCTTGACTAACAAATCACCGTTTGGATGTTTCTCCTGCATGCTCAGAATTTCGCTTTAGAAATAAGTTGCTAAAGTAAGAAGGAAAATAAAATATTATCCTGAAGATCATGTAGTTAAGTTATTTCTGTGAGGTTGAAATATATTGAATAAAAGCAATTTCATTTCCTGTTCTCATGGAGTATGATGACTAAATTTAAGATACTGGGAACTATTTTCCTTCTTAAAATATCTATATTCAAATTGTATGTCTACTTAGAAAAATCCATATGAATTTATTCTTACATCAAAAATACTTTATCAGAGAAATTCATTCATTCATAACTTTTGCTATGTTGAGCCCATTGCATTTAGACTGTCTCTGAACCCTGGACTGGTTATATTCAAGCCTTTAATGGTACATATAATTCCACAGTAATTCCTTCTGCTCTGTTCTTCAAGATTTCCCCCTTACTGCAAAAGTGAGAGACTATATAATGATAATATGTCTCTCTGCACACCTAATCAGATTTTACATGAATCAATTTTCAGTTGCCCTACTTTTATGTTCCACACATAACAAACTAAGGTGCAGGGTGTAGGGTCTCTCTTGGAAAGTTGGTGTTATTCAGCTGATCAAGGAACTCCCGGATTTATGGAACTCAATTCCAAGTTCAAAGAAGCCTAACCTTGGACTCTACTTAGTGGAATCCCATCCACCCCTTCATACCTTATATCTCTGAGATCCAGTTTAATATTACCTAACATCCACATATAATTCTCCCACATGGTTTCTTCTCACCAGTTTTCCAAACCAAATTCTTTTTACGTTTTTCCCATGTGTGCTATATGACATGTCCACCCCTTACTTTTTGAGCTAATCACAGAATATTACATGAATATTCTCCTTAGCACTTTGCTGTTCTCAAAGTACTGTAATCTATGTTTTCTCTTACTGTGACAGACCCATATGAAACAGCATGTAAAATAACAGTTTTGTCTAATTTTATCTTTACATGTGTTCAGATAGAACATGGAAGAATCAAAGTTTCCACAAAAAGAGTACACTCTACACATTCAAGCCAAATTCATCAAAATACTCCTGCAGACTAGCTACTTTCTATACCAGGCACCAATTTTTTCATTTTACATTTTGCATACACCGTTATCTGCCAATAACATACAGCAAATGTAACATAAGTTACAAGAAAAAAATGACAATCGTGTTGTAATAAAAATTGCAGATTTCAAGCTTTTACTACCGGGAAGTTACACTGACAACTTTGAGACACAATTCTCGACATGTTAAAACATACCTGCAATAAAAACTGAGAACGACTTACAGTTTTCATCACATAATTAATGCACCCAATTTTCTGAGTTTAATTGAGAAGACAACAAATTCCAGTTTACTTAATATATTATATTCTTATACATATAAAAGATAACTTCAAGAAACAATTTTATCTTCAATGTGTGAAGGGACAGCGACAGGTATAAAAATCAAACCAGATGGATGCAGCAAGCAGACAGGCAATGCATTCAGTTTGGTGAGAATAATTCTGTCATTTGTATATGTCACATGATCTGTGACATGACCATACTGTCATGGGATAAGAATGAGACCTGCAAAGTAACATCACAACATGTACATAAAGAGTATTAACTAAAACTAACTCAATGTAGCAGAGTTCTTCCTGATAATCCAAGAGTTAATCATCAACTGCTCAAGAATACCTTGCCATGTTATATAAAACTGATGCCTACAGAAACTGTTTAGAAAGAAGAAAATATTCAAGATATGTTATCAATAAACACTATTTAGGGTGTTACCAGTTTTTCAGATGAAATGTTTCATTTTGATAGGCACATCAAATACCCAAAATTTTCATGATTATTTCCTTAAGTCCTCATATAAATCATGTATCAGACTTACCTTATCACGAAACTTTAGAAAAAATAAGTGCATGAATTATGCAATGAAATATAGTATTTTTAAATTTTCATTAGAATAAAAGTAAATTATTGGGTGTGACACAAGTAGCTATGCTACCATTTCATTTCACTTGCTCATGTGACACAAAACTACCATGCACGTGCACACACACAAACATTCACATCAGGTTGTAGTTGGAATGAGTATTATTCGTCTTTCACCAGAAGCTTTTCAACAACTTCAGCAGCCTCAACAGAAACCAGTGGAACACATCTCCATCAACCCCATATTCACATCTGTACATATCAGTATATACACTTATCCAATCTGTCAGCAGACACAAGAGATGAGGAACAAATTCATACACAAATACAATATGACTGTAGCTTCAGTGAAACTGCATAATGTTACCGTTCTTCTCACTCTCCTTCTTAACCAGAAGCTTGTATTATGTGGGCCATAGGTAAATTCTCATAGACATAAAACATTTTTTTTTTTAAATTTTACAAATTAAATAACTGAGAACTGCAATATCAAATAAAAAGTTCAATTTGAGATTCTTATGGCAGTAACTATGAACAGTAGGGTCTTCTGGGTTGTAATGCAGTGTAGTTCAAAGACTAGGCAAAGCATGAAACCAGCAAAAGCAGGCAGCATGCTGAGCTTACTCTTTGACTCTGAGGATAAATGTGATATTACATTCTAGAAGACTGTACTCTTCATATAAAAACAAGATCTAAGCTCTATTTGAGAGAAAAATTAAGTCAATGAATGCCTGTAAGTTAAAGTAGTTGTACAACACTTCAAAAATTGTATGAACTTCCCATATTGTAACTATACGAGGCTGTGATTGAGATTCTGATGAGAATAAATGAGAAGGCTGCCTGATGACTCTGCTTGAAGTAACCATAAATGTTCCAGAGAACTTGGTGCATTCCTAGTATCTGAAGAGTGTGATGTTGCTGGAGTTATGGAACAAGTTTACTGTTTTGGTTTGAATGGTTTCATCTGTTCAGAAAGTAAAATGTTTAGAATTGCACAGCAATGTAAAGTGTACGTAAGTGATTTATTTACTGATACTAACTGGTCTGAGTGCTTGGGGAAACCCACCTCCTCCAACAATGAATGAATGAACGAATGAATGAATGAATTTACTGATACTGAGAGCTGCCGCAGTGCAAAAGGCACTGAGAAATATATGTCCCAACTACTTTCCTCAACTTCAGATTTAATACTTTGTACATATTAAACTGAATATCGTCACAATGCATGTTAACCCTAAGGCGGTTCTCACTGCACCAACGTTGGATAGCCTGGTGCTTTAACTAGAACAAGAACAGTTTTATGTATGTATGTATGTATGTATAATTATTTTGGATCGGAGAACAATACTATAATTGATCTTAACTAAACAGATTATGAAGATAAAATTTTGAAAACACTCAACTTCCTTTATTTTCCTACTCAGGTACTGTGTAACATTAAAAATCAGTTGAAATATAACTTTAAATATATCTGATGAAGAATCTCAATTTGAAATAACATAAATTTGACTATCACATCATGTACACAAGCAATAGTTATTTCAAAAGATCTAAAATTATGGTAAGATCTGTTATTAGTTGAACTCAGTATCCTCCCAGCTGTGTACAGACTATTGGATTGTCATACATACTGAACAACTAACTAGTTTAGACTGTGTTCTTCGGGGTTGTGTCACCATGTCATCTTCTACATGATTACAAATTGTTTGGGTGAACCTGTTGCCCCCCCCCTTACAGGGTACAAGATGGAGGTACTATGTTCCACCTACAAGACAACATGGTGGCAGAACCCAGAAGACCACAATATAAACTTTCATCAAGTGAGAACCCCAAAGCTCTTACAACAAACTTGCTATTCCACATCTCTTGTATCCCTGAAACATTTTCTTCAAAATGAAGTCTGTAGGTTTATCTATATACAAATACAGCAATATTAATGTCAAACACTTTCTGCCAATGTACAGTTCATATTAAAAATAATTAACCACGTTCACACATGCACGCACACACAACAATTATTTCAATGGACTGTTCTCGCCACTGCATTTAACTGCAGCTACAGAGTCTGATTCACATGGGACGAATTAATTTTTTGTGCGGTATTTTTATGCTTAGTTAAAATCATAGCTGCAATATTACCACCTCATTATAAAACTGTGCATCTGAGGTACAGAATGTAGACATGATACAAATTACATAGGCTTTAACATAAAAACTTCAGACTCAACTTAAAAAACTGCAGGGAAATATTTTCTCTTTTTCATGTTTTGTTACAGGTTCATCTATTACAAGGCAACATCCTCATACAATAACAAAAACCACCACAGCAAACACTTAGCAGGTTTCAATGAACTACAAGTGCTGGAGACACACTGACATACAGTCAGCCAAAGGTAACACTGACCACCAACAACCAGTATAATAAACAAATTGCCTTGTAATGGGGAACATCATTACAACAATCATTACATTCCATCTTAATTCTAAACAAGCTACTGTAAAATGAATTCACTGAGACAAATATTACATACTATATACATATTTTTTCACAACCATTTTATCTTACAAATATCATGAACTTCATTTATTATTAAGCTGGATAACACACGTCTCCTGTTTCTGAGGAAGATTACCATAAGTAAGTTTATTTCTTTATGCTGATGGTTGCCAAGCAACTTCTGTAAATCTCTACCAAGGGTGACCAACAGAGAGGTTACAATTCACTTCACAGAAAAGCAATAATAAATTCCAAATGCCTTCACAGCACAGCTGAACACTCCCGGTGTAGCCTGTAGGATTAGTAGAAATGCTCTGATAATTATTCAGGTTTCTACTTTTGATGTTAACATTACAATTGGAGTACGAAGTGAAATCTTCCTGGGGGCGAAGACCAGCTAGTGGGAAGGTTGACAACCTTGCTGCCATCTGTGAGCTGACTGTCTTAAAAAGGTGGGAGCCTCGACATCTCACAACCCTATGGGCCTCCATGGCCTGTTACAGGGATAGCTTTACCTATGTCTTAACAATACAAACTGCCTGTGACTGCGCCAGTTTCATGGGTCTCATGCTCACAACACCTCAATCCAATCATTTTCTGTGTGTCTGTGTGCAGGGGGGTCCATTTGAAATGTTTCTTTATGCCACTTCAGTTCATTATATAGCAGAGTTGCAGCAGTGTGTGTGTGAAAAATGCTGGTGGAACAGTTAGAGGGAAAGCACAGAATTTTTTACTTTGTGCAACAATCCAAGCTGTGTGGAGATGGGCAGACAGCATATCAAACAATTACTACTCTACAATAACTTAAGATATGATAGCCAGGCGGTTATCCCTCAATATTCCAAAATTCAGAAGGACCACAACTCTGAAATGTAACTGTTTCACACACAAGTTCACATACATGTTTTTCACTGTTCTGGTGTGTGTAAACATATTCCAAAATTTGGCAAAACAATTTCTGTTCCCCCTGTATATAATCGAATGATTACTGAATAATAAGCTGGCATAAATATGAAAGGAAGTGGTCATAACCTAATTTAAGGTACTATTCCAGTATTTTCTTACACAGACTAAGGACAACCATGAAAAATCTCCAGACAGCCAGTCTCCAGGCCAAGAAATTGTAACCACTTGACTTTGATGTTCGGTTCCTTATCACCTTAGATTCTGATACGTATAGTATAACAAAACAGATTCCCAATGTGGTGGAAATTGTACAATAAAAATTACCTACAATACTCTGCCTATAAGCATCACATAAAGAGACTCTGGCATACCACAATGGTTTGAACCACTGTGCAGTAGCACATTTTGAATATCATACAAAATCAGATAATTTAAAGGTATTGTACTTCCTTCTTGCTGCCAATGTCATGTGTGCATGTTAAATCTGTATACACTTTGGTACAAATAAATCATCATATCAAAATATCAGTAAGAGTATACTGACAGCTACTGCGCTCTATCCATTTAGACAGCAACAACTATTTGTTAAAAAAGACAGACATGCAAGGTGGAGGAACAGACAGAAACCTCCCTATAAAGTAACAGGCTATTCCCAGCACATACCCTGGACAAAATTCACAAGCACAGAAAAACATTGAGGTACTCAACTAAAAAAAGTCCCGTCATTATAAAAATTAGGAAGGGTAAAAAAATATCAGTGATATTATTATTAGATTCAATTTGGTTAAGAGCATTTGAAGTCTGGTAGAAATTATTCCACCAATTACTTGAATGTTTCATTTCGATCACATATTTGCATGAAGGTGCAAACCTCACCTAACACATTAATGAACAGCTCATGTATTATAATCCCTCACACTGTGTGAGAATGACAGAGTTAACACCTTCTCATATACTATCACTGCAGTGGGAATGCGCCATTTTTCCTGTACAGGCAAGAAGCTTCAAGAGCAATACACAACTTTCATCATACTATGAAGGGGCATGGCTGCTCCTGCGCCTCAGAAAAGCCCTTCCATTCGAAGGATAAACCCTAGCTAGGAGAATGAGAGAGGATGCAAGCGCAAGACAAACTGGAGCTTCTCTACCACCAGGAAGCTGCATAAATACTGTACCAACTGCAGCCACCCCATCATCTGTGGGTTCCACCGCAACAGGTCGGATGTCTCCCGCAGATGAAGTGTGCTGCTTACGCTGCTTCTTCCTGTGAGGACTTTGAGAGGTGCTGGCTGTGGAGGATATGGAGGCTGATAGATCATCAGAATCACGAGAAAAATCCAACAACAGTGTCACCGTGGCAAATGGACGTTTTGCCATGTGGTGCATTTCCACCACATGACGCCACCTTCTACGACGCCTACCTGCTGCCTGTTTGGCCTTCCATGCAACAACGCATGCAGCAAGAAATAAGAAAAAACAAGAGAAGAAGACGGAGAAGAACACAAAAAGATCAATATGAAGTTGGTCCTGGCGAAAAAATATTAAGCCATAACTAGAAACAAGTGGCGCAGTATCTCCATCCTGCGGGTATGGTCGCACCGCTGTCAATGCGAGGTAGAATTTTGTGGAGGCCAAGTCATGACGATCTTGAGGCAGGGTCAATACAAGTCGGTCCTTCAGGTTTCGCACCATTAAGAAAGTATTCTTCTGATGGACGGTCACGAACGTTGTGAGGCCACGGGCTTCACGATCCACCACCATGAATACGTTTGAGTTTATGTAATTGGTATTGGTGATTCGGGTGGTGGAACCATTGGGTGCAATGTCATCATTCCCAGCATTAACTTCTACAATATTAAGCCTTGTGAGTGTCCCACCTGACATGTCATTGTACTCTTCCTCTCTCCAATGGAACTTAGGGTCTATCTCCACCTGTAATACAAAAGTTTGATGCAACAATTCCATGTTTACGAACTAAAACGAAGGAAGAACAAAACTGCACTCTGACTCACAATACTAACCGTGTGAGCCCCAGTGCTGGAGTTCACATTAACGACAAAGGTATCATCAGAGGGGCTCATGTACAAGTCCAAGGCTCCTTGAGTCACATCCACAATAACACGAATATCCACATTCATGAACTTAGGCTGCACAGCAAAGAATACAGTACGTCCAGGATGTAAGGGCTTTGGTTTCATTTTACATTCCTCTGTGGGCAAATAACATGAGGTTAATTTTACAGTCATATCACACCAGAAAGTAATATATACTTCATATATCTTAGTAATTGGTAAGGTTCTGCGGCAGCCGGGGTTCGATCCTGGGTCTGGTCAAGTGGGATTTGTGGTGGAAAAAATGGCGCTGGGGCAGGTTTTCTCCGAATACTGCCAATCTTCATTCCACCAAATTCTCCATCATCATAATCACCCGGACCAGAAGGAAATATGAGAGTGGGAAGACCAAGGTTAAGATGGAAAGAATGTGTGTGGCAGGACATAAGAATTTTGGGTGTAAAGAACTGGAGGAATGTAGCATCAAATAGAGAAGAATAGTAAGCAATCCTGAGTAAGGCCAGGGCTCACAAAGGGCTGTCGTGCCAGTGATTATGATGATAATCACCCAGGGCAGGCTACAATAGGCCAATCAGTGGCCACCGTGCTGAGTGGACCCAGTTGGACTCCACCCCCTACTGAGCAAATTAAAAAAAAATGGGTAAGGTTTCACGATGCCATATCCACTGGTTCAGTTTCAGGTCCATATACCACAAAATATTCAGAATGGTACCACGTTAATATGCTCTGTTAGAAAGCACAAGAACATTACACATGGATTTTATTTGTATACAGCATTAGTTACTATATTTTCTCATATACCGAATGCACTTCTTCTCTAAAATAAACCAAATGTGACTAAAATTGGGGTGAACAGGTAATTTGTGATGAAGCAGTCAACGGTATGTCGAGCTCCAACAGCCAGCTGCTATACCAACTGGGCTATCACAGCTCATTTCTTCAAATTTTGGAGGTATGGCTTATTCAGGGTATGGGGTATTTGAGAATATATAGTTCTAACAAGCATGTTTATCACTTTACCCAGCTGTTTGGCATCAAAGCAGTACTTGAAGTCAACAGTCATCTGGCGGTAGCACTGATGACCATCAGTTGGATTGCCCATGTAAGAGTCACGGCACTTGGAACACTGTGACTTCCAACACTGGTTTCCGTTCTTGTTACCGCTACAAGTGGCATCACTCTCTGTGTTGTTCTGGCAGTTACACTTTTCTCCTGTCACTGGGTCACACTGATCCCCGTGTCCATGGCATTCACACCTGTCCCATCAACATCAGAATGCATACTCCAGAGACTCACAAATGTGTATCTCAGTAAAACCTTTACAGTGGAACAATCATAATGAGCAAGGAGCTGGGAGATACAGATAAAGTAATCATGGATAATGTTGAGTATTAACCCTTTGACGTGGTCATTTAAATTCCGCGGCCGCGGCTCCTGCGGTAATATATTCAGCCGGCCATTTAAATTTTGCTCGAAAATTATTTATTCATCATTGTTCTTAAATTCTATGAGATAGGAACATGAAACTTTCACTAAAATGATCTTAAATGGTGGTTTTATAACCTTACCTTATAATATGGGCGCCCTGTATCTCGGCCATGGAAGCAGGTTGTTTAGTATTTCAGCAGTGAATGGTACGCCTTGAAGGATGAAACTTTCACTAAAATGATCTTAAATGGTGGTTTTATAACCTTACCTTATAATATGAGCGCCCTGTATCTCGGTAATGGAGGCAGTTGGTTTAGTAGAAGGAAGGCCTTGAAGCATTCGTATAACCCAACGGTGCCCCACGTTCACCATTCTCCGCTCCAATATTGTGTATTTTTTTTTGCCCTTTTTTTTAACCACACATATGTGCGGCCTTGCCTTCTTACCCGTGAGGGGTATACTTCAAGGAAATGTCTTTCCGTGACCCGTTTAGTTGCCAGGTCAGCTGTAGTAAATTCAACGTTACGAGTTATCATAACAAGGGGTTGTTGCTATGCCTTTGATATTCCATCCATTTTGGCGGCAGGAGATGTCGTAGGGGTGACCACAGAATTCATGAAGTTATTCTAAGAACTGTCTGGTATGTAGTGAACGAAAGTAGAGCTTAGCTGGCTCAAAAAAATATTTATGGTCATCCCTCGAAACGACCACCAAGGTCAGTACGATAAAATGGAGTCAACTGGAGCGATAATGAGCGAAGGAATGAGTTCTTTTCCCTCCCCCACACACATCCGTATCGTCTCAGGGGGTGACCACAGTGTTCTGCCTTAAATTGTGGCGTTTTTCTAAGAAATGGGTGCTATGTACTGTGCGAAAGCAATCGATTTTGCAGGCATAAACTTTTGTACATCCCTCTTCTAAGAATTCCAATTGAATAGCCAGCTCAGGGCAATATGATATTATAAACACCAGCACATATCAGTCTCTGGTGTTTATAGCTTCAGAGCAAACAAAACACATCATTCATAACAGAAACAGCTCGCAATAGCCACAGGAACGTTGCTGCAAGACAGGCATATGTAACGACGACTTAGCGCTCTTAAACGCGTGTGTCATTAAATACAGTCCTCCTGACAACAGGCCAGTGAAAAATCTAACAATCTACAGCAAAACCATCAATTATTATGGGCGTTATAACATACGTGTGCAGCTGGACGAAACATACACGTCGAACCCCCCCAGACGATTTAAATCCCTGACAAAACATACACGATGAACCACGGCAACGGGTTAATAACTGGGAAGAAGGTAACAATCATGACAAACTGCAGTTAGGATAACTCGTTAGTATTAAAAAACTAAAACTCAAACTGGCTAAAATACAAGCTCTAAGCAAGGACATGATCAATATCTTTAGCATGAATGATACTTTTCTGACTATATTTGAATTAGTATGAGGCTCCATTTACTCACTCTTCACCACCATCCATCTTCAAAACTCAGCAGACCAGTACCTACTGAACGACATTCAGTAATATGACATAATTCTATACACTCATAGATAATGCTATGTCTGTAAGAACAACTCCCATGCAACAAAGACACATTAATTTTATTATATGAAGATTCTTATTGCGCATGTGCTAAGGATAATTGTGTACGAACAGCTTGGGAATATTTTACTGATGTCATTATGGAAAACACAGAGAAGACTAATACATACCCGGCGGAGGTCGTGGAATTTTTAAGGGCGGAAAAATTCAGGGACTTTAAGCCGTGGGTCCTGTGTCGTAGATTTACGGCACGGAAAAGATCCTCATGTCTTTAGGAGACCTCTGAGCAAAATTAGGCAAAAAGTTTCCTGCCCAAGTAGTTTCCAATGCCTCTGGTAGATGGGGGAAGTATTGGGTACCGAGGGTCGACCTCGTTGGCTGAACAGGGCTGATAGTACGCACCAGTACCGGTAGGGTATGGCAACTAGTAGAATATCAAAGGGGGACGTACAATAGACTATTAGTCGCGGTGAATGGGGAAATCCAACCCCTCCAATAATAATAATAATAATAAATAATAAGACATACGGACGGCAGGGAGAGCGATAATCCTCGGAACCACGGAAATTGCCTGGGATGCAGTCTTCACATTTATCACCAGTGGTGAAGCTGCCACAGGCAATGCAACGAGCATCTCTTGTTGGCCCCTCCTGAAGCAGTTTCTCAAGTTCATTGAGTGTAAGATCTGCCAGTGCGTCATCAGAGCCTTTCAACAGGAACTGCAAACAAACACCCAACAATACTGGAACTTTCGGTAGTGTGGTAGATAGCGGCCTCCATAGTCTAGGGGTAACGTTCCCACCTCATGACTCAAGATACGCGGGTTCAAACCTGGCAGAGGTCATGGAATTTTTAAGGGTGGAAAAATTCAGGGAACAAGTCCTCCAGGAGGGACTTTAAGCCGTGGGTTCCGTGTCGTAGATTTATGGCACGTAAAAGATCCTCACGTCTCTAGAAGACCTCTGAGCAAAATTAGGCAAAGTTTCCCGCCCAAAATAGTTTCCAATGCCTCTGGTAGATGGGGGAAGTATCGGGTACCGAGGGCCGACCTCGTTGGCTGAACAGGGCTGATAGCAAGCACCAGTACCGGTAGGGCATGGCAACTGGTAGAATATCAAAGGGGGATGTACAACAGACTATTAGTCGCAGTGCATGGGGAAACATAGCCCCTCCAATAACAATAATAATAATAATAATAATAATAATAATAATA